TGTTCTTATGTAAGGGTTTATACAACGTTAATAAATATCAATATTATTGCAGAGGAAAGTTATATAGGAGCAAAGAAAGCTTAATAATCTAATGGGAGCGGTTTGAGAAGAATACGGTTCACTTGTAATATCAAAGGATTTCATTGGTGATGCTACATAAGAAAGGGCTGGCCAGTTCACTCGTGTAGAAGCATCCTTAGGTTTGGATCATACCACTCCAGTCCGGTGCTCCAGCCGGGAACAATAAAACGCGATGGAATTTATGAGGGAACGACAATTTTCCTTGGTCTGACCACGGTCATCCGAGGAAAGAAGAAGGATCGGAGAGAAGAAAAAGTTCACGATTCCCGCGTTCGTGAGCTGGCTGTGCTCTGCAGAATGGGAAGTTTTATTCGGTTCTATGAAATGGAACGTAACATTCCTCTGTCACTCCGTCCCTTACCCCTTGTCCGTTGTTCATACCGTGGAGTTCCTCGGCCCATTTTCTTCCATCCACTTCCGTTTCCCGACCTTCTGCCACAAACTTTCTACCGCCCTTGCTTCATCCTCATTTATCGAGTTTTCCCGGCTCTCTTTTTCCCGGTTCCGTGTCTTTGATCCCCCCCCCCCTTGCTTTTCCCACCTCGTTCGCCGATCTCAATCTCTCTCTCTCTTTCGTCCCTACGAACTTTGATCTCTCGTCGTTTGATCCCCGGTCGTTCCACTTTTCACGTTCCCCGTGAAAACTTCGCCGGATTCGGGCTAACGTTATCGCTGCGATACGGTAGCAGTGTACACAGATACCGTCCCACGTTACACAGTGCCATAATGCACCTCCGTCGACGGAAGTTTCGCCAGCCGACGGGACCCGTTTTATACTCGCGGCGAAAGCAAAAACATTCTCCGCGTTTTCGCAACAGTTTTCCAGAGTGTGACGAAACACACCGATCCGGAGATTAGATTTAATTGCCGCTAATGGAAGAGTAAACGTAAAACAGCCGGCGCCAGAACTTTGCCGAAAACACGGAAAGAGGAGCGAAAAAAAATGAGGAAAAAATATCGTCCGTGGGAAAAAAACACACGCGTACGTGTGTACGTACCGGATTCGGTGGATGAAATTCGAAGCTTGTCAGCTTTTCAATCGGTCACGTTCGTTCGTCGGCGCGTTACTACGTCAAAATATTGTTTCGTTGAGATCGCTTTGTTGAAACATCGGCGGCGCGCCGCGACTATCGAAAATAATGCACGTTGCGTTCGCACGGAGTATCGTAACTCACGTTCCCTTTTGTTTCGGAAACATTTAGTCCGCCGGGCGAGCCATCCGGCACTCGTCGCCGGTGAATAATGCCCGAGTCTCTCCAATTTCGTCCTTTCTGTCTCCGAATTCGTGGCGGAAATACAACAGGAAAAAGGTATCGCATTTTTTCCCGTTTTGTTCCGCGGAATGCAGATCGGATATCGTTGACCATCATGTGTCGTGCGTTCGTCCGCTTTCTTCTCGCCTCGGCTCGCACTGCGTCTCGCCATCCCTTCTTTCAAGCGTTTCGTTTTTCCGTTTTCCTGTTTGGCTTTTCATCAATGCCTGGCGCACCGGCCGCCCGCGGCCAGCTCCCTACCAATTACGCCGACAACGTTTCCCCGTTCGAATTTCGACACTCGGGAATCGGCACACGAGAAATCCGTGACGCTCCGCTACGTACATACATACGCATGTGTATATTCCGCGAGAGTCCCGCGAAAAAGAGAGGAGCAAAAAAAAAAAAATGTACAACTCAGTTAACTTGGACTTGCAAAGCAGCTCGGCGTGCAAAAAGGTGCGCGAAAGACTGATTTAGGAAAAAAGAACATTTCTCGCGGTACAGCATTGACCTCTGTCCCCGTAGTGTCATGGGAGAAATCGAATGAAACTGGAATTCGTTTTCATCGAAAACCACTTCGGCCGGGAACTGATTTACATGAAATAATTTACTTACACTCTCGATCCTAATTGCTCGTAACTTTCTCGTTTCACTGTGTTCGATAGAGTAAAAGGCGCGCGAGGAAAAAAGTTTTTCCGGGATACAGTAGTTGGTTTATTGAAAGCTCTGCCCTTGTTCCGCCGGTTTGGGTGCTCGTTACGTACCTTTCTTCTTGTTTCAAGGATCGTGGCTCCCGGGAACAATGTTTGCCTTCGTTTATTTACCTATTCCGCATTTATTCCCTGGCAGAAACGGGGAGCTCTATCTCCCGCAGTTTTCTCGGATCGCGAAAACCGTGACATATACGCGAAGAAAATTGAATTTCGCCGTCTCTTCGAAGGGTGCGTGTGCCAGACCGTGATCTACCAACCAGATTTTGAACCCTGACAATGGCAAGAAGCTTCATCGTCCTGGAAATTGGTTTCCGCTCGCGAAATCCACGGATTTCGGGTCGCACTCGTTTTTTGCCACACGTGCACCGCAGATGCCTCGCACCTCGACTCAGTGGGAGACAAAAACGAGATCCTGCTGTCCAATAGACGTAAATAAATCCACATACATACAACACGACTCAGTAAGAATAATCGTATGAAATAATTGATTATTCTTTTGTTTCATTAAAGATATTTTATATGAATATTTCATTTGATAAATTTCATTTGATAAAATTTAATGAATTGATGCATTCTTGCAATTCAATTCAATGAAGTCTTTCAATATATTTGTTAAAAATGTTAAATTACGTGGATCATCGATTGTACGTATGTACATTCATAAAAGGATTACGTGAAACTGTATGTGTATGGAGTATACCAGTAGCCGCGGGTAAATGAAACGAGAAACCGTGACGTAAACCGCGGTCTGCTTAACGTCTGTACGTCGACATCGCTAAACAATATAGTACAATTAGCGACTATAGGAATTAGCGACATCGAGGCTAATTATTTGCCACAATTTCGGCTTTTTCGCTGGGACCCGGATTGTAATCAACGCACCGAAAGTACGCACCGTGCGAGTGGACGTTTTGGATTATGTATACCGCTAACGGTGTCGCTGTCTACCGCGAATAACACGAATGCACCCAATTAGCGTTAACGAGTCGTTTCATCGAACTCGTTCTTCTCTATCCTCTCTCGAGTTGAAGTTCCTGCTTATTTATTTCGTACAAAGAACATTTTATATCCAGAAGACGTTCTGGGCTAGTTTATGCTTCTGGAATCGTTAGAAGTTTTGTCATTTTCCAATCAACAGCAGGTTTAAATCAAACTTTAAACAAAAAAGATTTACGGTTATATAACTGTAATAGGATCGCTCGGATAATATGTAAAAAGTGAATGACGACAATTGTAAGAAAAGCGGGTCATCAACAGGTAGTCACACCGGAAAAGCAGTAAATAGTTGGTCATTTTAATCAGCTTTTTTTTTTCAAAAAAGGAGCGAACTCTTCGACGATGGGAAGGAAGGGTATCGGTAGACGGCAGGAGACGAACGACACCGACAGCACGCGCACACATGCTCGACAGATGGGCATTTGGGCATAGGCAGAGGGGGTCGTGGAGAAAGGGTGAAGGCGCGGCGCGGCGTCGCGACGCACACTCGGCGAGGTGGCGCGCACCGCGACAGACGTGGCGTGGGTGGAAAGCGAGGAGGACGGTCCGGTTCGAATCAGTCGCATTCACGAAGCGGCGCGCCGAGCACCACCATTCGGTCGCTGTTCGCTTCTTTAAACCTCCGAGTAGTCCGCATACACGTTGAAGAAGACGGATTGTGATTGTAATTAGCCCTCCGACCCAAAGAAGAATCTCTCTTCCTTTTCTCCTTTTGTTTTTATTAAACTCGCCATCCAGATCGCGCGCGCGGTATGTAGCGTCGCGGTGAAGTTTTCTGGACGGCCGACGAACGCGGCGCGTGATTCCACGCGCCTCTCGGCTTCGGCTATAATTAACGCGGCCAAGAACCACTCCGACTCGCGGTTATGCTGCTCCTCGACGAACGCGAGTTTTAACTACTTCGTTCCCGGGAGAAAATAACATAACCGCTCTGAGTGTAGCCAGTCAGTGTATAAATTGGGAAAGAAATGGATCATCGTTAGAGGCGTCGAAGGAGGCTGTCACGGCCGTCGCGAACCTTGACCGTGAGTGCGCTCGAGCCTCTTCGTGGGACGACCTATAAACCGGTCTATTTTCATCCTCGCAGTGTGCGAGCGGATCGTGTCGAAACACCCCAAGCCGCTTTCTTCCAGCGACGCAGTTTCTCAGTGAACACAATTTCTGTGGACACGCTGTGAACCGCGCCGCCAGTTCATCGTTCTCTCGCAGTGGTCCTCGCTGTAAGGCAGCAATACGTAGGAGGGCCGAATTCGTTGTGTGTGAATCTTGCTCCAGATCGCGGAGGTTTTCAATTTTGCACGTTTGTTCACGATGCGGGAGTAGACAGCCAGGGAGGTAAAAAGATACAGAAAGAGAGCCAGCGAGAAGGAAGGAGAGAGACAGCCGTGACGCTTTCAAACCGATGAGATGACAGTGCTGTGTGTGTTGTGGGCAACTCTGTCCACCGTGGCATCGATCCTCGCTTGTTCCGGATTTTATCTGCCTTACTGGATACAGGTGAGCTCCTTTTTCCTCTCGTTATCAACGCTGCGAAAAAACCGATGATTCATGTTCTAATTCCGAATCCCTACTTGCTCGTTCAATTATGCACAATGAGTCCACTACCCTACTCTTCTCGTTTTTTCTTTCCCAAGTCCTCTTCTGTCGCATGCAACGCATTTCACTCGAGTACAATTACTAGCTTTTTAATACCATCGAGTGCTACGCAATCTACACACTCGTCTCCCGCTTCCGTTCTTTGTTATACTCTTCAGTTAGCTGGTCGAGGGACATATGCACGTACTGTTAACACTTCACTCGAGGCGTCAGACCGACTAGACTACCGGGTGACGTTTCGCGATGAGGGATAAACCTCGTTTCCGGAAAATTTATCGTCCTTCGATTCGGAACGAATCGAATCCATGTAAACTGTATCGTCGCCTCGTAACTCACGAGCTACATAAGTGCCGGATGGCGTCCGTCAATGCTCTTGTTTCGCTCACCGGACTTCACACGATTGATCAGATGTTCCTAGCGAAGCGAAGAACCATTTGTCTTTCCATTACAATTTATAAGATAGCTTGACTTTGTGAATGAAACTTTTACTTAAATTGATCGCTTTAGGTTTTAGGTTTCTTACACTTGTACGTCCACAAGTTTGTATTTTACTTCAATTTAGGGCTTGCATGATGTTTGCGTGATTTCCCATCATTGAGTTAAGGTCGGTCGATAATAATCCGCGGCACGTGTTCACCACATAGTCGCTAATTGACACCAACCGGGGCGGCATGTCGGCGACCGCTTTTTAGTAAATATGTAAATCGACGGGAGGATCCGTCGTGATTCAATCCCGGCGCGAGGCAATATCGAACTCGCGATATCAATAATTGTAACGGAGAACGAGTGAATATATTGCCGGCAGCGTGTTTCGTAAATTAAATACGGTCATTCGAATGAATTAATAAACAAACATGGGTCCTGCAGGCTATCCTGTCAAATGCGTTTGCTGTAGGGAAATGAATCTCAATTATGATACGTGGGTTAAAGAGATAAACGAATGAAATTTTTGTTTCCCCATCGGTCAGCAATTAAGGAATGCATAATTGATACTCTCTGATCAATCTGTTTGTTACACAAACGACGTTTTGAACGTGAATTTGTAATGAAGTGGATGAAAAATAAATCGAATAATATGTCAGTGATCAGATTCGATATCTACTTTTTTCTTCTTTTTTCACGTCGCTGTAATGACTTTCAGTCAGTTGGAAGATTCATGAAAATCGTCGCGATGCGATCGGAGCACCGTTTCTTCCGGTTGATCGTCGGGAAGCCGTTCGCATCTTATCTTCGTGTTCCTCTTTTCCTGGATGCACCGTACCGCGGCGGAGGTCTCGAACCGGAGGCAGAAGAACGCCTATTTAAGGCACCTGCTCGAAGGGACTGGTAGGGGCTGGTGAAAGGAGGCGTTAAAAAGACGTCGACTTTTCCCGATGCTCTTTGATAATATCGAGCTTTCGCCAAGCCGTTAGCTTTTCGCTACCAAACCATAGTCGTAAAATCGTACGACGCTCTTTTTGTCCGACACGACGACCAGAATCTACGATAGACAGTCCGTATTCATGTATGCGTACGTCTTCTTTATTCTACTTGGGTACTTTAACCTTTATACTCGTATCGTCGCATTTAATTTGACAAACAGCGAATTCAGATGGACTGCCTATTCTCCTGATTTTTATCTCTCGTTCTTAAATTGACGTGTATAATAATCGTTATCGTTAAGGGGAAATATCCGTAAATTTACCAATTCAATTAGCTTTGAATTGGAGTCATAAGTGTATATAACTAATCAATAATTGAAAATACTATTGACAATATAATTATAGAGTAGATAATTCAAATCGACGTCATAAATGTTTCATTTTGAATGAAGACCCGCAGTTTAATTATGTATCGTCATCGTGCGCGCAAAATATTGATCGCGCGCGAGACTTTAGCGGGGAATCTTCGCTCGCCAATCTTCGACGGACGTTAAATTGTCGCGAAGCACCGGCAATTTCGTGGTTCGCGAAACCTGGCTAGAACACGTGACGCGTCGCGTCGCATCGATGCAGCCGGCCAACTTGGGGAACTTTATCGCGGATGACAATCCATATTAATGTCTCCGGGGATGCGGAAAACCCCCGCATGGCCCGGGGAGCCGAAGATCCGAAGAAACGTTAATAGGTTTCAAAGTTCTCTTCGCCGCGAGCTTTCTTCGCTTATTACTCGCTTCCAACTTGTTCCCCCTGGCTGAGAAATTTATCTCCCCACTTAATCCGTCGACGTTTAGACCCCATGGATCACGAAAATTTTTTATATTACCGTTCTAATAATTTTTTATACTACCGAGGCTGAATTCGTTCTTTTACTTCTCAACTCCCACGGAAATCGAGTGTCATTTCACTCAGGCAATGTAAATCCCGCTTCGTAACTTTTAGGACATACTATAAAGTGTACTTATAGGAAGATGCATCATTTTAATTACGGCGAAATACTAGTTTACAGTGTAAATTTACTTTCAATCATTTTAACTGATGAGAGCTTTTCAGATTTTTGTGAAGACAAGTTCTGATATTAAATATTGGCAAACTGGAGGAATGGGACTGTTTACATTTTATCATTCAAAGTATAATTTCATTGAAATTATTCAGGATTTATTATACCATTTGTTATTTGCTATTGCCAGTGCATGATTTATTTTATTTTTAACTATAATTTTCCCATTGTGTAAGTCTCTGATGATATATTTATATAAACAATAAAAGAGATACATGGAAGTGTTCTGAGACACACGAACGGAGGTGTACGTGTATCATATTAATGGAAATTTCAGGAAATTAAGCGAGGTGTATAAATTACGTGTATTAGTTGGGGCTACGTACCGCGTATCTGGTTCGCGTATCGGTCAAACGATTATTACGTTATTTGTACGTATTAAACAAACGCGATGAACCCGGTTAGGCGAGATTACACGTGTAACGCTTGGCGCCGCCGGGCAAGTGTACCGATATTAATGTCGCCGCGCGTTAAATAGCGGGCAACTTTCCCGACGCAAACGAAACGGCGAAACTTGGGGCAACGCGAAATTCAAGACTTCCGCTCGTCGAACCTCGTTAACTCCGTCTCCCGCGCCCCCACCCTCGGCGGGAAACGGTTCGCTAATTCAGCCCCATTAACTGTTAATTTTGCCCGCGTAATTAAGTGTGATCCGATTACACGCTGCCCGATATATAATTTATTTCGATGGATTAATGCGATTTTGATGGCTCTTCCGCGAACGGATTATCGAAACTTTCTTCGATTCTTGTGCGAAAACTAGTTTGTAGTTACAATAATCCATCAAAGCATTGTTCTGACTTCGGAAAAATTATTCACACATCGATGAACTCGTCGGTAATACTTTAAAACTGTTGTTAGATTTACAAATGGACATTCATAATTCAAGTGAGATTGAGAAACGCAGTAAATAGGATACGTGATAGCTGATAAAACATTTAGGTAATTTGGTATGAATTCTCGTAATCGAACTTCTCTTAAAAGAAAATTGGAGCGGGAACAAGTTTCATGAAATAATCAACAAGTGTGGGGAAAGTTCGGTCATCGAGGGACGGCGAAAGATCGCAAGGGCCACGGTTCGTTGCAAAGTGAAGCGGAAAACTCGCGAACGTCGCGTCGCGCCGTGTCGTAATGTACGCAAACGGTGATGAGGTCGAAGGTCGTCGCCGTGTCGGAACTGGCAACTCTTGGTAACTCGTAGGAATTGCTCCCGCGTTACCCGGCCAAACCTACCAAGTCGGAATTAGATTGTAAACGAACCAAGTTCTTTAGACTAGGGAGTCGCTAGACGTCACTGGAATCTCGCAATCGGCGACAATTCTCAGCGGGAGGTAAAGGTTCCTTCTTAAAACAGAACAGAGAGCAGGGTTTGTTTCAGAAATTCGGCTCGCGAGTCACAGAAAATACTATATACTGGGTGTCATGACAATAAAGACAATTATTACCAAACTATTATTAAACTTGTAGTTTTATGCATTTATAAGTAAATGGAATGTACAAACGTTTCGATGAAAAGGATTCGGAGATGAGAAATCTCGTCTGTAATCCGACGACTTATTCCCAAGTCCTTTTGAGTGTAAATCGGCTATTTAGAGACGGCAATTTGGGCGGTGCAGTTATTTAGCAAGCGGCCGAAACGAAGTTCGCCGGAGGCTTACGTGCAAAATTACAGGGAAGATTGCTTTGTGAACCGTGTAATAAGTGGAGTAATAAAGCATTTGCCGAGCTGCTCGATAAACTTTCTTGGGTAAACCGCATCCCTTTCCTTTCCTCAAACAGACCCGAAGGGGGAAACGGGGATCCGTATCCGTATTTGTCGCCTTTATCGCTGGCGCGTTGGTTCGACAAAAGGCGAGGCGAGACGACCGATCCCGGCCTTTCTAATGACAACGCTGGAATGGATGGATCGAGCAAAAGCACGATTCACCCTTGGTAATTACGTCGTCGTCGTCTAGAAGTCCGGCGTCACATTTTTCTGCGAGCTCGTCATTAAGCGGACGTTAAAAAACAGCCGATGAATAATTTCGAGCGTCAGTGTCCGTACACGAGTGCCGCTTCGAAATGTATAACGTAAGTATATATCCTTGTCTAGTGCAGCAACGGAACGCAGAAGGGGCCTCTCTAAATGGCTTTGAAAACACTCGAGTAGCGGGATGAATAAATGCATAAGTGAATTTACATTTGCCTTCCTGCGCTCTCTCGCTTCTTCCCGGTGCCGCACTGAATCGAGCCGTTTCGTGTATACGTGTAGTATGCGTGCGGAAGAACCAAGCCCGATGTTCTGGATTCTGGATGTACCCGTTCATTTTATAAGAAGAGAAATCTCGCGAATAGCGAGCAACCACAGTTTAAAAGAGATCTCGTTTACCCGCGCTCTACGTAAAAACAATTTCCACGCAATAGTTGACGCAATTTGTAGCGCGTTGAATAGAAATATCTTTCTATTATACTCATTATAATGTCGTTGAATGCGACTACTTGATTTAATAGTGGTCGCAAACAGACACCAGTATTTATTTTAATGTAACAGTTCAGTTTCCATCTGAATGTAAAAATGCCTCTGCGATACTGTTGGTATAAATTCATATTATGCACGTAATAACATTTATTTTACTTCAGAGTCTCTCCCAGTGTATCTTTGTGTATCATAAATAACTCGTAATTCATGTGTTTTAAAGCATGGCATGTCCCGTATTGATTTCTCTTATTTAAAAATATTCCACTGTTGCCGACGCTCTCCACGATGAGCCCGGCAAGAACAATCCTTCGGAAATCCTGGCCGACTTTTAAGCACTCACTCAGCGGTGGCGGGAGGGAGAGAGAAAAGCTGAGCGCGTCCGCGTGCGCGAAACTCCCCCAATCCTTGGAGGAAACTATTTGGCACGGGGTCAACGGGGTTTTGCTCTCGCGAATCGAGTCCTGATACAAAAGCATCCGCGAATCCGCCGGGTAAAGAGTAGGAACGATCTCTCTCGCGTTGCTTCTCTCTCCCAAGCACCATTAACCCGGCTAAAAGCCTCTCGAAAATGTAGCCGCGCATAGGCGAACCGCGATTCTCCGCTAAAATTCAACCGAGAATCACCTCCTCGTTCATCGCGCACCGACTTTGACTCGGATTGGTCGTCTGGTAAACTTTTAACTCTCGGCTGCATAGACGATGCAGCTTCCTCCCAGAGATTGGTACCTAATACATATATTCCGAACGAGACTGTTTAACCTTGACGCAACGGCGTTGCGGTTTTCTCTTTGCTCCTTGCAAATCCGCGAAAACAGCGTATAGTAGGAATGAACAACGCCGGAATATCCCCCGGCACGACTCAAACACGCTCGAAACCCTTGTTTTGTTTCGGTCCACAATGCGATCTGTACGTGTCTGTGTGTTTTGTGTTCCAGGGACGACTGTTGGGAAAGGCGGACGCTTATTTTAGTTCCTTTCGACGCTGCAACTATCCGCGGATAAGAGCGCCAAACACGGCACCCGAAATTGTTTACGAGTGCGCCAGGTACTCTAGGTACGTCCGCACACCATTCTCTCTTATTTCCATTCTGTGTACTCAACAATGCGCGTCCCCCGGTTGCTCGACATGCAATTTCACACTGCACAGAGTAATAATAACAGTGGAATCAATTCACTTTTAATAGACGTATATTTACCCGTTATAAGATACGCACAAGTGCAATTACAAATTCAATTTTGCTCGTCGGAAAGTTGGACGCGATATGAATTCTCGTTTAAGAAAACGTTTGTCTCGTATTCACAAAGCGGAAGAAGACCGTATCTCTTGTGAACGACGATAAAACTCGCAGAAGCCTCTGTTTATTAAGAGGACGTCGGATATGAATTTCCTAACAACGTTTTGGATGATTCGCGCAACCGCGTTCGGCACCTCTTCGTCTAGAGAAGAGTTCGCGCCGGGTTATTCGAAGCCAGCCTTCCGGAAAACTTCAATTTCCTCGCGAGTTCAAAAGTATCTCGATATCGTGCCCCCCTTTCTCTCTCTCTCTCTCTCTCTCTCTCTCTCACTCAACTGTTCCCGTAGTCACCGACCGACAATCGGCGAGTTAATTTCGCTCGACGGAGACGTAAGAGTTGGTATAATTCGTGCCACGGGGGCCGGAATAATTTCGCAGGGACTATCGTGGAAAGTCGGGGGAAAGGGCGGGAACTTGGAAAAACTTTGTTCGCGAGGAGCGGCTCGTTTCGTACACGGCAGCCAGCCCGCGGCCTCGTAAAATCGTTGCTCCTGACAGCCAAGCACGGTTCGTTATTGAGAAAACGAGAATTATAGACGTTAGAGCTCGCGAGAGACCGATTCACGATTCTGCATACGTTTTCTACAATTTCCTCGCATACTTTCCCCAGATTTCTCTTCATTTTCGTTCCGTTGTATCTCGTTCACCGCTGCTGACGTTCCGCCGTGTGATCAAGGGACTTAATTAGAAAAATGGTTTGTTTCACGTAATATAAATCATAATTCTCATTATATTCCGTATAAGCGGCGATGAATCAGTAATGAAAAGTAAATAATTTATTACTCTCGTTTCGTTCTGAAAATATTTCACACGCTATATTATGAGCCGGTCAAAAGCCACGATTTTCTCGCGACTCGTTTTCGATCGAGCGCGGAACGCGTGAATTAAAATGTAATTTTCCAGTAAATATGGTTACCGCCGGGGCGTAACAATGGTGTTTCCACTATTTTAGCCGATGCCGGTCAGGTATCGGGAAAATTTGTTTGAATCGCGGCATTGAATCGTATCGATTCGATTCGGATTCCCGTTAGCCGATAGGGATTTCCTTTTTTTTTTTGCACTGAATTAACCTTTCGCGTTTTCCATGCCCGGATTCGCGGGCTATTTTTCGCGCGCGAAACAAATTGTTCTCAACGCGGATTGACGCACTTGAATGGCACGCAGTTCGCCATACTTTGGTCGAAACGATGGGACAAGATGCGTACGAACTGAAACTGATCGGCAACGAATTAATTTCCATGAAACAAAGCAACGGTAGTTTATTCGAATGGATCAGCGTTTCGATATATGTCGAATCCACGTCTCTGTAACTAATCATTGTTTTCCTGTACGTTTACGCAGTTTAAATGCGTTCCTCAGTTTTAACGGAACTCCTGATGCTCGAACGATGTGAAAAATTAGGCAGAAGAATCTGTTAAATTTAAAATCAACTGCGATTCAGTTCGCTAATTAAAAGTACCATTCGGGAAATAGCTAAAGCCAGGGAGATCCGGATGTGTTTTTTTTTATTTTTGTGTGCGCACGGTGTTTATATTTGATCGGGAAAGCTGGCGAGTTTCAGGTTGAACGATTCAACCGGAATGTTGCACGTTCAGCCGGCTTTAACGCGACTCGATGCAGCGTGCATCTGCATACGCGTGTCTTTTTTCTAGAAAACGGCGAGCAAACCGCTGAAAGGGGACACGGCGCGCGGCGTGTCACGGCTTTTTAACACTAATGAGAAATGAACCGAGATATCGAGCCTCCGCGCAACGTACACGAGCAGATAAATAGAGTAGTTGTATGAAGCAGCATAATTTTCATCCCAAGAGGATGTATTAGGCACGTATAAATTATACATAACTCTGTTGACGCGAAATTAAAACTATATTCGAGAAACAAGCTAAAAGTTTTGTCAGTCTGTTCAAAACAATACCGCGTTGTATTAAATAAAATATTCATTACATCGCAGAATTATTATGAATGCGAGTTTCAATTATACCAGAAGTATCAGATTTAATTAAATGATTAAATTGCGCATTCAACTTCTGACAAGTGTTCCTGTTATTTTAGTCGAATTCTCTATGCTTTATAAATGCTTGAAAACTGTTCAGCTGAGGCTAGTTACCAAAACGATAATCGGATGGAATAATTAAAACCGTTTCCCAGCATCGATCTTCGTTCTGCCATAGTAATCGAATTTGATCCGACAATTGCAATTACGGAACGATAAACGAATATACAGCGACCGCGAGTATCCGGCTTTAAATCAAAGTCAGCGCGCTCTGCCCGGTTTCATTTCCAGTGCGAATTTGTAATCCGAATTTAACTCGTGACTGGGACGTTTCCTCGGAAAATCACGGTGCCCGATGTTTCATTGCAGCTTCTGGGATATACCGAGCGGTTGGTGGCAGGCTACCACTGTCACAATGGGCATTGGTGTCGCAATCGCTGTAATCGGTGCGCTCACTCTCTTAGCAGCGGCATCGAGCTTCCTGCCGCACATTTTGAAAACGCCTAAACAAACCAGGCTTCTGGGCTCCTTACAACTGCTCGCTGGTGAGTATTCTTGAAGCGTGAACATTAGAATTAGACTGCAGACATAAGAAAGAACAGTAGGCTCACTCACGGTGTCACACATTTCCTATAATTAAAAAGAAATCAGATATCGGAAGAGTAATGTTAATAATAAATAGCTACGTGCTAAAAAGTATAGAAGGAAATATCCAATTAAGTATTGACGCTGACGAAAATTTTTTTTTCAAAATTGCGAAGAATGATTTGAATAAAAGTTTTTTTCCTTCTAATTTCGATATTTAACGAATTACGTATGAT